ATTCAATGAAGCTGAACACGGGAAGGTTCAGGGCAGACAAAGGAAAGTATTTCTTCACCCATAAACTGTGAAATTCGCCCCTACAGGATATAGAAATGGCTAGCAGCTTGGGTGACTTTGTACCGCCTCCATTCTCAGAGGTGGCATGTCTCAGAGTACCAGCTATGGTGTTGCTCTCCTGTCCTGATTGCAGGTTTCCCAAAAGCACCATGTTGGCTACTGTGAGATCTAGATGAGCCTTTGGTCTGATCTAACGGGCATCGTAGTCTTGAGAACTGCAGACTGAGACTATTGCCATTGAATCTTTTGATGAGTATTTTCAAAAGGCTCCAAGACTCACAGAAGCCGCATTCAGACTCAATATTTGCTAGATGTGTGGTGGCACAACTGTAGGGTAATTGCTGGAATTCATATTTGAAACACTTAATTTTTTTCAAGTAGAGGCAAAGTCTCCGTTGTCAGGTACTGGTCACCTATATAGAATGCTTGAGCCTGGTCTCAGGCTTAGGATACAGAACAAGGTATTTCTAACCCTACTTCATAAGACCTTCCTGTTCATACATATCTAAGAATAACAGAATAATCAGAACTCTTCTAGGATGGTAGTTGCCCCGCAAACCCCTTTGCATGATATTGAAGAAGGAATTCACTGTGAATGTGCTCCTTCACTGGAGCAGAAAAGCCTATCGTCCAAACCAACCAAAGCATAGATGTTTGAAGGAGCTCTGTTATTGCTGCAGTGAAAATGAACAGCACCCCCATCTTCTCTCTTCTTTCCCAGGACTGCCTGAAAGCTTGTCAGGAGCAGATTGAGGTGGCCTTAGCAGAGAACCTGAAACAGACCTCACAGCCTCGGCAAGAGTACAGCCCCTCCAAGGATGCCGTTTACCCTGACAGCCAGGATGTCAGCCTGACCAGCACACCTACGGATGTCACAGACATCAACCTGTGACCAGCCCCTCCCTCCAATCACCCAGCTCCCAGCAAGTAGAACTTAACGCAGGAAAAGAAGCCTCCCGGAACATTCTGCCTGTGCCATGTGATCACTGAAGAATAAGGGGAGTGGGAGACAATGACCCCATGAGCATAACCTTTGTAATGAGACCGTGTGGGATTTGGGTCTTGGAGGAATGGCGTGGGAGGGACTCCAAAAGGGAATAGGCCCCTTGCAGTTGGACTGTTTCTGCCTTGCTAGCCTGGTTTTTCCTAGGTTCAGGGGACCTTCCTGTGGTGTTTTGAGCCACGCTTGAACTCGGGAAGGATAGGTGAGCTTAGTGTCAGTTCAAAAGTTCTTCAGTTTGGGTTTGCTTTGTTGGAGGACGTGCTGCTGATCACTGCTGTTTTGTCCCAATCTTTGCTGCATGCCTGTTGCATGTGTGTCAAGAGAGAAAACGCACTTTTGTTATATAGACTGCCTTCACCTTAACATGAAGAAGTTGAAACATGCACCTGAGGCAGCCTTGGCTGAAGCCGCTCTGCTCACCCAGCCGTGTGTGGGCAGCTGGTAGAGAGAGACCAGGCCATATTTAAAGTCCAGCACTGGAATCTCTTTACCAGTCCCAGGGAAGTCTTAGTTCTCCTTTGATTATTAATAGTATCACAATCCATTAACCCTTCAGAGTCTTTTAGCCCGTTCAGGAGAAATAAGTGGGTTTTGGCTCGCTTTTTGTAGGTGCTTGTAAAGTGCTGCTTTCCATATAAAATATTGGGGGTTGGGGAGAATCCCCTCTTCACTAGAAACCCAATTTCTACTTGCTGCACCAGTTGCCTTCTCTTACTCCTGTGAGACCCGAGTTACTTTATTTATTGTGAGGATCAAACCTTACAAAGCCACAAAGCACGATCAGAAGCTCAGTAGGGTATGTTGTCCTGATTCATCCCTTTTGCCATATAACAGAGTGCCTTAATGTCCTTCCTCGTCCTCCTTCATACCTCTCTGGGCTGCTTACTTTGATAGAGTCACGGTCATTCCCGATCAGAGTACACCCAACAAGTGCTGCTATACTTGTATGTACAAATCCCTCCTGTCTTCACTGCCAAAAAAGAAACAAAAAAGGGCAGGAGAGCTACATGCAAGGGATGGGTGATGGAGGAGAAGGAAGTCCAGCTATACAAATCTATTCTGAGCAAATAAAAAGGGGGTCAAGAGTGATCTCTTTCCCCTAAAGAGTTTACAATATAATGAGCTGCGACTGCACTGGACTAGAGAGTTGTATTGTTCTTGTGTGTTTTGTTCAGGAAAAAGGTGTGTATGTGTTTTTCCTAAATGCTGCTTTTATGAGAGACTTTAGAAACCTTTGGTGGGGGGGGAACTGTAGCAATGGGAGCAAACTTTGTCTTTTGAATTCTAGTGGCATTTCATTATTCAACCCTCCAGCTGGAAAAAGAAACATGAACTGATGCTACCTAAAACACCACTGGAGACCCGTCACCTTGGCCAACAGGAAAAAGCCTCTCTCTTACTATGTTTTTGCCTTTCCTTTTCCCTCATTGTGCTTACGCCGATTAGTCAAAATTAATGTGCTATCAGCATTTCTGATAAGTAAGTCTATTGGAACAAGTTTGAAGACGAGAGGAATGTATTTTATAGATACATCCACCCAACTATATATTAGAGCTTTGAATAAAGTTTGTCAATATGATAGTCACTGTCACTCGAAACCCTCCTGTTAAGGAAATTATACCTTACTGATATTTTACCATACTGCAATAAAGCATTTTTTAAAATTGGCACTCTCTTGTCTTCTTTCCTGGGTGATGGAAATAAGACTGAAAAGAACCAAATGCATCTAAAATACAGCTTGCTTGACTTGTTGCTCTAAGAAATTGGCCTGTTGAGAATAAAAGACAAGAATGCTTTCTTGATTTCTGCCTTGCTAATGTAATCCACTTTTAACAATTCGATTCTGACAAGCTGATTTCAAAACACGGGAGGCCTCTTGGCTGTAGCAACTTTGGCTAGCTGTTCTAGATAGCAACCAGTATTCTTGTAAGACCTCTTTGTGTTATGCCTGTCTCTCTTCATGAGTCTTTTCCCCTTCTACCCTATTTACTTCATGATTTTTGCAAGGACAACCACACAGCTGCTGCTTCCTACAAGCAATACAAAAGAAGTGACCCAAGACACTGATGCAGCTAACTTGCTGGCCATCCTTCTGCTCTACCCCAAGCCACTCGCTGCCCTGGCATACAGAAGAGCTTTCTCCTTAGCATGACATCTTTCTCCACTCCGAGACCCATCCTTGCAGGTTTGTCTTAGGCACTAGGCATGGGAGACCTCCAGCCGTACCAGCACTAGGCGGCTTCAGCAGGCTCATTTACCAGCTCTGCATGGAGTTAACAGCTTTCGCCTGTGACCGCTTTGGCTAAGTGATGCCAAGTAGATAGATGGGAGACATGCAAATTGTTCTGTAATCTGCGCTCGGGGAAGAGGCTGTCCTAGGGGACATCTTCCCAGCGCAAACAAACTTACTGCACAGAGGAGCCACTCAACCAAATCTCCCCTGGAGCTAAAAGCTGTTCAAAACCAATTACTCTTCTCTACCCAGCTGCTGCTGGAACAGCACTGAGCGCGTCTGCTTTGTGAACATGGGCATCAACGCTCAGACATTTAATGCGGCCCTAGGGCTGCAAAGCACAGGAGGCCAGCAATAGGAGAGGGTGGCCCTCTGATATCCTCTCCTTGTTAACCAAGGTTAGAAACGTGGCTGCAAGACCCCGAGCATCTAGAGCAAGGATGGGCAGCCAGAGGGCAGCACAGAGCCTTCCTTCACTCCCCCAGTGGCCTGGCAAGTCCCCAGAGAGCTGCGCCCACTTTCCCCCACTGCCTAGCTATCAAGCTGGGAAAAGATTGCCGTTCCCATGCTGCAAATAGAGGGAAGCCAGGGAAAATATACTGTGGAAAGAAGCCATTATGGGAACAGGCTTGTTAAAGCACCACAAGTGATTGTTCACAGCTGTTTCTAGTTCTCAGGGGACGCCTCGAATTCAGCAGCACGAAAACCTAAATATTGCTGCAACTTGAATTATGGTCCAATTTACCAGACCATTTTGGTAATGAGGGAGGAGGGAAGTGGGGGGTGGGGTGGGCACACACACACAAGTTGTAAAAGACTAGAGCCACAATCTTTAGTCACCAAATGTGGTTGGTGTGTTTAAGAAGCTTTTGATCACTTAACAAGGTGCCCTTGATTAACTGGGAAGCAATTGCATTTAATAGTGCAGGAAGAAAACACCATCTTTTGAAGAAGCACTTCTCTCCTCCCACAGAGGAAGGAATAGGCAAGAGCTTTGAGCCACAAGCCTCCAGTGGAGATCCGTCACCTTGAACAGTTGTGTGACAGGCAAAAATGCTACACGCAAAACTCCTTGCACCTGGAGATGTGGTTGAAGAGCCATGTATGCTCTATACGTATTCTATACTGGAACATCCAGTGCTCACTTTACACATATGTTCTGTCACAGCAATATGTGTATTGAGCATATTAGACTGATCCTGGCCAGACCACTGGCTGCCAATTAATTTCTGGGCCCAATTCAAAGTGCTGGTTTTGACATATAGCACCTTAAAACACCTCAGGATTGCAATACCTCAAGGACTGCCTCTCCCCACATGAACCAACCTGGGACTCTTGTGATCATCATCTGAGGCCCTTCTTCATGTTTCCCCTCCACGAAAGGTCCAGAAGGTGGCAGTACAAAAACAGGCCTTTTCTGTGGTGGCTCCCCATTTGTAGAATGCTGTCCCCATGGAGGTTCATCTGGTGTCTTCATTACATATTTTTAGGTGCCAGATCAAAACCTTTCTCTATAAACAGGCCTTTGTCTGATTAGCATTCCATGACCTTTTAAATGTGTTTGTGAGAGCAGGATTATTGGCCTGCTTTTGTTTTATTATGTATTTTGTGTTCTCATTGTGTATTTTTCTGTTGTGAACTACCCTGTGCTCTTTGGATGAAGGACAATATACAAATTTAATTAATAACTTTTCTGAAAAAAGGTTGCTGGTTACTCAGATATTTATTCTGGATATTACGTGTAATTTCAAACTTATGCACCTCATTTGGGTTTATATACCAGCAGTATGGGCATTAACCAAGCTCTAGCATGCCTTTATTTTTAGAGCTGTACTATGAAGAGCCTTAGAAACCCAGAAAGCCAAAAATCTAACCTTCAAATGTATAAATACCCAGCTGACAGATTTAGCTATGAACATCTACCTAGAGGGGACAGGGAAAGAGACAAGAATATGGGGTGCTCAGCTGCAGTAACCAGATGACATACATGATGGCTGCTGCTTATATGGGAAAACAATAGGAAGAGCATCAAATTAACCGAGGATGGGGCAGCAGGGACTCGGTGCATCTCATTTGGCAATGGCTAACTTGTTCCAGGGGTCCAAGTCTTCTTCAGCTAGTCTAGCTATGTGGGGGTTGAGCAGCCCAACCCCAACGCCTGAGGTGACTTCATATCATCACATCCCTGAAGCATCTCTCTATTCCAGTGCTGGAGACAGCCCAGCTCAGAGGCAGCATACAAGCCTCAGGCAAGTTGTGCTGAGCTGGGTGTAAGATGGTTTTCCAAAGACTTGTTCAGAGAAACAGCTTAGGCCTTGCTCAAGGTTGGGAAGCCTATGGCCTTCTAGATGTAGCTGGACTACAGCTCCCACCATACATGGCAATTTGCAACGTTGGCTGGAGTAAATTGGATGTGGGGATTCCTACAACATCTGGAGGGCCTGAGGCTTCCCACCCCAATGCAGTTTTCCCCAACTGAGAACCAGGAAAGGCAAGTGGATGCCCAGTTCGGGATGTGTGGTGCTTGGGCTGTGTCACCCTCAAAAGCAAAGCAGCCCACACTCATCACAGAAGGGCGACGGCCAACCCAACAGCCCCTGCGAGACCAGCAGCAACATGCCAGACGCCACCTCTGAGCCAAACGGGCCAGAAAGGCTGGATACAGCTCACGGGCCACCAAGACTGATCCCCCCTGCTGTAAAAGGGTAAGATTCTTGGCTACCAATACTTCCATTGGAGGCCAGATCCTACAGAGCAATTACAACCTCCTGCAGTTGGTAGATGCTCTTTCCTCCCTTACTAATCTGCAGCTCAACAGTTTATCTCCCTGCTGTTGATCAGTAACTTGCATCCACCAGGACCTCAAAAGGGGCAAGTAGTCACTGCAGCCCTTTAACAGCAGCTCTATCGCAAAAAGGGGGACCCATTTCTCACGGGAGGGATGCTGGTTTCTAATCACCATGAATGCATGTCGAGTCAAAAGGGGGCAGAGGGCTTACAAATACTTTCAACCCTGCATAAATAAGGCTTCTGTGGATCAAAGCAGTGAGGGTACAAACCCTATTTGTTCGACAGCGTGCTGTAGCTTCAAGTTCAAACCAGCAGCTGCCTTTGACTCAGAAGTTCTGCTGTGATCACAATCTGTGGAGTCCCCCTTCCCATCCTCCGTTCACTCCATTGCCACTGGCTGCATCCCCTCCACATCCCGGCACTTGGAGTTCACTAGCTCCCTGCGGATCTCTGGAGAGATCTGGGGGTGGCTGTGAAACTTGAGCAGCTCTAAGAGGGCTTCTTTCTGCTCTGAGGACAGGTCCTCTTTGTATCGCTGGGCAAAGGTCAGGAGGCACTGGTGCCAGAGGACAGGCAGGGTGCGTCGGTCCGTCCGGAAGGCGAGGAAGTGAAAGACCAGGGCATCCACCACGCGGAAAGGCAAGGCGTACTTCTTGTCAATGAGCAGGCGGAGAAAGATGCTGTTGGCGCCACTGTACTCCATCTCAGCAATCTTTAGCATAGCGGCCCTGTGGGGGTGGAGGAGGGGAAGAAAAGGAGGAGGGGCAAATGAGGCTTTGCTACAGGTCCACATCAATGGATGACCCTCCATTCATGAAAGCCAAGGGAAGAGAAAAAGTGACAAGGAAATTGCCACAGTTTAGTTAAGTACTCTCTGGCAGGTTCCTTTGATAGTCACACTGCACACCCTCAGCCCAGCTACAAGCGTGGCTTCGGAATACAATCTGTAATGGGGAAGCCCATGCAGGCTTAGGAAGACTTTCCCCAAGACAGCAAAGGTGTTTCTGACCCCGGGGGGGGGGGGGAGAGAGATGCATGGGAGGAAAGGCAGGAAAGCCTATCCAGTCCTACCATTCCAGAGTGGCTGGGGAAACACAGCCAGATGGGCGGGGTATAAATAATAAAATTATTTATTATAGTTATCATTAGTGCAATTTCCCTTCCACCTCAAAATTAGCCTAACTCTTCTTACCCGGAGTGAAGGACAGGGATGGAGCACTTGGTGAGGATGCTGCCCACAATGATGGCTTCTCGCAGTGTGCACGTTCCTGACTCACATATGGGGAGGAGGATCCCTGGGGAGATGAGGAGCATCATCATATAGTCATCTCTTATACAGACACAGAAAGAGTTTCATCAAAGGCTAAAACTATTTTTAAGGGGGGTAAAACCATTCAGTTCTTTCACATCTAGAAGAATCTTTTGCATCTAAGAAAATGCAACACACACATACCACACTAACAACACCTCTGCACAGTTCAGTATTATTTATCAATAAAATCAAGTTTAAGAATAATTCACCAAACCCAGAAGCAGCTTCCCCTTGAGGCTTTCCTCCTCTCCATTCTTACATCTGAGACTGGAGCCTGTCACGAGAGAAAACTGCCAACTTGGGGGGGATGGGGACAGGACTGAGCAGCAGGAACAAGCCATTTTCTTTGTTTCCACTCTGTGTCAGGTTGGTAATGATTTCACTCATAATTCCATTCTGTATTTGGGGTTTTGTTGTTGAAAAACAAACCCCCACAAAATATTCATTTAAATGCATATTTATCAAGTGCATATTTTGATAATCTTCAACTACCGTGAATTGTGTTCCAGAGGCAGCAAAGCTTCCACATGCCAGATGCTGGAAACCACAGGAGGGGAGAGGGCTCTTGTGTTCAGATTCTGCTTGAGGGTTTCTCTCAGGCCTCTGGGTAGCCATTGTGAGAACAGGATGCTGGAACAGATGGGTTGTTGGCCTGATCCGGCAGGGTCTTGTGTTATTATAGTGAAATATATGAACCCCTGGATAAACCTCATGTCCATGTATTTGTCCTCCAAGGTCAACTCTCCACTCACCTTTGAACCAGGCTCCAGGTTTGAACAAGGCCTTCTTCAACGCCATGTAAAGATGGAAGTTGAGGCGCTTATATTCAGCAATGTCATCTCTGACTCGCGGGAGAAGCACCAGATTGTAGAACCTCTGGGCCATCCTCTCTTTGAGGTTAGAGGAAAAGATCCTAGGGAAAGGAACAAAGGCATTTGGGGAGAGAGGGTGGAAATGGAGAAAAAGAGAAGCAACCTGAGTTAGGATAGTTGGGGAACTGGTCAACTTCCCTCCTTGTGCTTGCACTATGCAATACATGTATTACTGCAGCATTCCACATTGCCGCCGCCCCCCCCCCTGACTTTATACTTCAAGCTTTTGAGGCTGCGGAATCATTTTTATTTATCTACACATTTCTATGCTGCCTTTTCAACCTAACCCTTCACAGTTTTGGTTCCTCTTTACCAAATAAAGTGGCAAATTACAACGGTATAAAATAAAAATACAATCCGAAACAAGGACAGCAGCACACACAAAAAGCCAGATCCTTAAATTATTTTGTTCTCATAAAAAATAAAAGAGATGTCCATGCAAGATATATCAAAGTCAGGCAACTAGCCATGCACCACCAACACCAATTCCTAATGGTTTATGTGTAAGAGGAGATTCATTTTAGGAATGGCCTGTGTCTTTCGCCAGAGCTGCACACTGCACTGTGTATCACCAAAGAGGAAGAGGAACCAAAGTTCTCTCTCCGAGAGAACACGGAACAAGCATCAGATGCATTTACACTTGTGGCTTCCTCCCAGGGCCCACTGTGTTATATCTCAAGAGCTCTGGGTGCTAATGCGCTGTTTCAGGTCCTCCTGGCTGAAAGACATGGTGCTAGAAAGGTCTCTCCCCCCCATTTTAAATACTTTATTGAAATTCATAGATAACATACACAATATACCAAGATGAAAACAATCATGTACTAATAATCTTATATATGTTTACAAAAATCAAATTTAAATTAAATTAAATTAAAAATTTTCCTATCTTTTTGCTAACATAGAATAGACTTCCTATCTTTTCCCGATGCATATAACCTTTCTGGTGATGAATGTACTTATCATTATTACCTTACTCTTTCTGTACTTTCTAATACTTTCTTACAACAATTCGTACCTTTTTGCTAGTTTCTTAACAGTTTGTTTAGACAAAGGTCATTCAAACGCTGCCATAGATAGAAAGGTCATTTTTAAATCAGACATTGCATATTCTCTTTGTTCCTGCTTGGATACGCTTTGTCAAATAACAGGTTTCTTTTTACAAGAGGAGCCTCATGCACTGCAATACTGGGCAGGAGTAGTTGGGAGGAGGGGTGCTGGTGGTGAGATCAAAGCAACCTGACTGCCCACACACTGGGGAGTGGGACAGGGGGCAGAATCTGATCTCGTGCCCAGGAATTTGAGGGGGGTTTTTTCCCACTTCTGAAAAGCAGCAAACTTAAGCACAGGGTGATGTGTATGTGCATGCATTAAAAAGTGCAGTGTAGTGCTACGATCCCCAAATGAAAGAAAAGGAGCTATTGGAAATATAATCACACGAATTGCTCTGTAATCAATCCACACATTTACTTTCCCCATGTGTAGGACAGTGATATTGCAGAAATAAGTATCAGTATTATTAAACAAGGATTTTCATTTCTGTATGTCATTGAACATAAGGACTCATCTGCTGCATAGTGCTGTATTTTGGCTATTCGACCTACTGCAGGATGATCAGAGCAAAAAGCAAGAATCAAAGGAATTGTGGCAGCTCATGGGATGGGGCAGGATGAAACCTTCAAGACAACACATTATTCCCTGCAGTGTCACAAATGGAGTCCTACCTTGTTGCCTGGTACATGGCAGCTGCTGTCCACGTTTCAGGCTCTGTTATATACAGGATCTGCTCCCAGTTGGACAAGGCTGGGATGATCTTGAATGCTTTAGGCAGTTTCCCACTCCTATATTTTGACAGCACCTGAAAAAGAAATGGGGGGGGGGGGAGATGAATTTAACACGGACAGGCAGACAAGGCTACTTTATTCCAGGGTTTATACCCATTGTTTAAGAGATCTTCAGTGGATGTATTTTAAGAAGCATTCAGATAGGATATTCTTAATTTTCCACATAATAGCGAAATCTGTACCAGTCTATCAGCATGGAAACAAATTCTAGTTAATATTCATATGTATAATGTATCATCTTAACCTATGGTGCCGTATGGAAACACAGCCATTAGCTGTTCCCCACCCACACCAATCATGCTATGGGTAGTGAATTAGAGCAAGCAAAGAGTTGCCCAAAACTACGATTTCTAAATGTTGCAGGAGCTGGATGTGTGCAGAAACTCACACACCTATTTGCACAGAAGTAGCATTACTCTTACTTCTTTGACACCCTTGTAGACTTCCAGGACACGGGGATTAAGCTGTGGCATGGGCCGACCAGATATTTCGGACATCACAGTTTCCACCTCTGTCTGCTTCTCAGTGATCTTCTCCATGATAATGTCTGCCAAGGTGCGCCTAATGGGTATCCAGAGGAAACAATATGGATCAGGGAACTTAGAAAGCTCAATGGCAAATCAAAGCAGCAGAAGCAACAATAAGATTGATTCCCAGCCTAGAATTTAACAGGGGAGATGAAGTTTCCACATGTGATATCCCTTGCTCACATGGCTACCCACCTTTGCTAAGTGAACTGTCTGCCATACTGGTACTGTTCAGTGAAAAAGGCTGCTGTGCAATACAAATAAGACTGAAGGTGGCAACAGGCATCTGCTGAGGAACAAGATCTTGGGGTTCTAGCTCAATGAAGATTTTGACAACAAGAACGGGCAGCTCTCAAAAGTTTTAAAGGTTAAATTAAAATTTCAGTTCACAAAAATAACATGATGCCAAAAGAGAGGTGTCAGCCCAAATCTATTTTGCATGAAGAAATTCTAACGTGGGTAAGTCATATGAGGGCCATAGGTTCCTGCTCTGCATTCCAATCTTGGATAAAGGAAACTTGGTCATTACTGGGCATGCCAAACAGAATGGGCTGAAAATTGTGCTTCCTGCTACCCGTGCAGTATCAAAGACAGCATGCCTAAAATAATAACTAAAGCACCATCTGCTGGTTAAAACAAAAACAAGAACAGAATTGAAAAGTATACTTGGGTGGTAGCTTGCTTTACTTATTGCTGAGAATCTGATGAAATCATGCCAGTTCCATAAGCAAAGCAGTGCCAGAATTCTTAGATGAGATATTCTGTTAAGGGTCAGTTCACACACATAAAAATATCACTGTAATACTAAATGGCTTCTACTCAATTGTTCCCTTCTCCGCATACATTGGCAAAAATGTGCAGATAGTCCGATATAGAAAAACACAAGGTACCTAGTCACCTGGGGGCCTAAAAAATTCAAATATTTTTCCTGTACAGCCAGCCTGACAACAAGTTTTAATTCTCCTACATAAGACTGCAGTTGTTGCTGGGATGTCAGTGGCTTCAGAAAGCCGCACCAAGATCTGCTGTGTGTACAGAGACTTCCAGCTTACGTGGAACTCTATCAGAGGTGGGCAACCTTTGCCCCTCCAGATGTTGCTGAACTACAACTCCCATCATCCCTGGCCATTGGCCATGCTTTCTGGGGCTGATGGAAACTGCAGTACAGCAACTTCTGGAGAATCAAAGTTTCTCCACTCATGGACTATCTGCATGTACCACAGGCACATAAAACACCACAAATGATCATAAGGAAGGAAAACAACCACTGTGAAACTCTCTCATATTCTCTTTCTTCACTTAGAACCCTCTCAAGTATAACCAATACAAAATAGGCACTTGCACCCAGGGCTCATTGAAGTGATGAAACTCAGGGTGGGTGGTGGAGGTAAAACCATATAGCAAAGATAACTTAGTCACCTAGAAGCCTAACAATTTCAAATAGTTTTACAGTCCTGTACACAGTTCAACGAGCCTTAATCCCCTTCCAGAAAGGAAATGGCTCACAATTAATTTTACATTGGATAACTGTCTTAGAAGAAGTAGGACATTACACATTCTTAAAAACTGCATAAATGAGAATGGACAAGGGGCTAAGGGAAAGAGTATACATACATCTTCCCTATGAGATGGCTGTTCAACAACATAGCCTAATTCAAGCTAATTCACTCACAGAGGCAGAAACATTAACAGCTTTACTCCACATATGCTCACCCAGGCACTTTTACAAGTCCCACACAATGTCCATTCTGTGCTTGTAGGTATTTCCGTACTGAAAGTTTGGTTCCTTACACTATGGAACTCCCTGCCCATTGACATTAAGCAAGTACCTTCTCTGTATATAGTGTTTTAGCACCTGCTAAAAACATTTATGTTTAGGGAAGCCTACCCAGACATGTAAAGTTGACATGTATAATGTATATGTATATGTGTGTGTGTGTGTGTGTGTGTGTGTATCTGCTGATATGATTTATATTTTTGTTTGTCAACTTGCTTTCCATGTCTAACTTTTTACCACTAAGCAATCTATAAATACTGCAACATAAAAAATAAAGTCTAAGCAACTGCCAGGATTTGAGAACTCCAGTGTTTACCTCAGTGGTGGATTCTTGTTCATGAACATCTCAATGGCTTTTTCATCCTCTGGATTCACAGTTACCTCATCACAGTACTCTCCCTTTCCCATGGCTGCAGCTTGCTCCAGTGTTGGCCACTCATCATCATCTGTATCTGAATCTCTGTCCTTTGAGGCAGGTCCTGGAAAGAGTAGAACAAATACAGGTTTGTTATCAGAATAAACAAATCCTGGCTTAGTGGTAGAGCGTATGCCCTGGTTTGATATTTGGCATCACTAAATAAGGGTGGGAATGTCCCCTGTCAGAACCCGGCCTAGACAGCCACTGCCAATTGCTGTCGAAAATACTGAGCAAGATGGAACAATGGTCTGACTTAGTACAATACAGCTTCCTATGCAGCTATTTCTTTCAGGTCTCAGAAACTTAACAAAAAAGAATTATAACTATAACACGTGGAAGCTGCAACAAAGCACTGAAGTGTGAAATGCTCCTACTTCAAATATCTAAAGGGCTGTCACATGGAAGATGGAGCAAGTTCATTTTCTCCTGCTCTGGAGGGTAAACCTCAAACCAATATCCAACTCTATTCCAAAAATTATCTGTTTCCCATTCTTTCGTCACTTTTTTCTGTTCCTCCCCCAACCAAGTGAGTTAGCATTTTCTGGCCACTAAGCACTGCCTATTGGGTTTGTCTACAGGCCTCCCAAAGCTTTATAAGCTACAACTTCCACCAGTCCCATCTATGATATAATAATAATAATAATAATAATAATAATAATAATAATAATAATAATAATAATTTATTATTTAAATCCCGCCCATTTGGCTAGGTTTCCCCAGCCACTTTGGGCAGCTTCAAATAAAATATTAAAAATACAATAAAACACCAGACATTAAAAACTTCCCTAAACAGGGCTGCATTCAGATGTCTTCTAGAAGTCAGATACAGTGGACGCTCGGGTTGCAAATGTGATCCATGCGGGATGCACGTTTGCAACCCGCAGCAGCACATCTGCGGGTTGCCATTCGGTGCTTCTACGTATGCGCAAAGCGCAATTTAGCACTTCTGTGCATGTGTGTGTGCCGAAACCCAGAAGTAACCCATTCCTGTACTTCTGGGTTTCGGCAGTCCGTAACCTGAAAAAACGCAACCTGAAGCGTCTGTAACCCGAGGTATGACTGTAGTTGTTTATTTCCTTGACATCTGGCAGGAGGGCGTTCTAGACTCGGGCGGGCGCCACTACGGAGAAGACCCTTTGCCTGGTTCCCTGCAACCTCACTTCTCACAATGAGGGAACCAGCAGAAGACCCTCGGAGGAGGACCTCAGTGTCCGGGCTGAACGATGGGGGTGGAGACGCTCCTTCAGGGATAGCATAGCAAGAGATGTTGCAGCCCAGCGGGAACCAAGCGGGGAGGAGGAGGCTGGCGCTCAGAGAGGGGTCCTTCCCAGCCCCACCTGAAGGTGCAGGGGGTTGGAGTCAAGCAAAGCAAGTGACCCCCGCCCCCCCTCTGAGCTGCGGCCCAGCCTCCTCGCTGGCGAAGAAGAGACCCCGGCGAGCCCCCGGGACGCTCACCCAGGACGGTGGTCTTCGCCTTCTCGGGCTCGCCTCCGCCCGCGGCGCCGTGCTCGGCCTCCAGCTCCTCTTGCTGGATCCGAGCCTGTTCCAGGATCCTCCGGGAGAGCTTCTCGTCCACGTACTCGTCCTCGCCCTCGCCGCCATGCTTCCCCGCTTTGCCCCGGAGCTTCACCCTCGTCACGGGCTTCACGGAGTCGCCCTGGAGGATCTGCTCGGCCAGCGGAACGGACGCCGCCTTCGCCGCCCCGCCGGAGCCCCTCGAGCGCTTCACTTTCGGCATGGTGCCCCCCGACCTGAAGAGCCGGCACACGTGTGAGGAGGAGCAGTTGCAAAGCGCATGCGCGCTCGTGGAGAACCCTTTTCAACTACAGAGCTATGAATGCAGAGAGACGCGTCATTGCCCGGATAGGTGGTTTCCGCGCTCCCGTTGAACTCTACAGCAGAGATTCTTGTGGCATCCCCAGCTGTTGAGGCATAGTAAGCCTCACTGCTTATGGCGAAAGCTGACGGTCAAATAAATTGTGTTAGTCTTCTCTGGTGGTGAGAGAGGTTGGGGTTGGAACACAAGCGAATAGTAAATAGCACAAGCGACGCTGACACAAAACCCCACACATACATTAAGTAGAATAGAAGCATTGCCACCCGACCCCGACCCTACTCACCATGCCCCCCACCTCTTTCCCCCTTTTCTCCCTAATGTAACCCTAAGGTCTCAACAAATGAAACTGATCTGTAGAAAATGTAACTTGAAAAGAGAGACATTGCACATACTTTTGCAAACCAAGAATTCTTTAATATAAAAATATGTTTTTTTAAAAAAATACAAATAAATAAATTGTGTTAGTCTTTAAGTGAGTCTTTGTGAGTTTGCCTGAGTGTGGGCCACCCTCTTATTTTCTGCTCAGAGAAGCCATTTTAAAATGCCCCTCGGGGCCGGAAGTGACAGCTGCCCATAGCAATCAATGGAGGAATCCCGGGATCTGGCGCTGGGGGCGCTGCGGTGTCTGCTCTGGAGGGCAAATGGCCGCGGCAAAGTCGGGCGTGCTTTCCCTTGCTGATGGAGAGCTTATTTCGTGTGAAGAAGCATCCCCCCCTCAAAGGAAAACCCCCATATGAATAGCTCTGCCTGTTCAAACTTCCGTGGCGATGCAGCCCCCTGTCCTCACACTGCAGATCCGTGTTTCAAGCCAAGGCGGAGAAAAAACATGCCCCACAACAGCTCTGTGGTGTTGACGTTGTGGGCTTGACAACAACCCTGCGGTGTAGGAATACTCTCAGTGTAGGTGGGGTGTGAAGCTGGAGCGCATGGCAGCTACACGACCCTGCAATATCATCGCAGGTTAGAGCTGGCGCTGAGACTGGTTTGGTTTTGCAGACCAAAATCCCACTCAATTCATACTATGGCTTATAGCTGTAGCGCTTATTTATTATATTTTTTAATTTTAAAAAAAATCCCGCCTTTCTTCCACCGTGGGGGGTTTCCTGCTGGTCCCATTTCATCCAGGTACTGATCCAGACCCGGATCTCGGGCAGGATGGCTTCACAGATGCCCACTGCTCCTCTCTGGACGATGCTTCTGCATTACCTGCTTGGAGCACCAGGTGGCTGGTTCTGGATGGGGCCTTTCTCAGCTCGGTTGCATCACTTCCTTTTGGCTTTCTTCTGTGAGAGCGTGGAAGGCGAGGCTGTTTCTTCGTCCCTGTTCCGGCAAGGAGGCTCCTGTGCAGACGCCCCGAAGAGCATTCTTTGCACGCGTTTAAAAGGGCAGGAGGGAAGCGCCTTGGAGCCGCGATCCATCTTTTCTTTTTCTTTTGCAAGGACTACCCCCCTGTCTCTCGCGGAGGCCGTCGGAAGCATGGGAGTCACCTGGTACGGCATTTTGACTCGGGTATTGATTCATTTGCAAAATGCTGCCGCAGAGTTTGTAGCAGGTTGGTGGTGCTTGGTGGGAGACGATCAGTAGCCGAAAAGACTTCGAAAAGGAGTTGGGAAAGGATAGGTTTTAGAACTGTAACGTGTGAACACGCGAACGGCGGGTTTTGTAGTAGAATTGGGTTACCGGCGATTTAAAGACAAGGCGAGTCGAGATGCTCGTGAAGCAGCAGCAGGAGGAGGCAGGGTTGTTCAGATAGATGCAACTGCCGTTGAGAAGCCTTCAGCGGGGGAGGGGGGTGTAAGTAGGTGACCTGGCTGTGTGAACGAATTGCGTGTCCCCGCAAACGGGGGGTTGTTGCAATAGCCGAGGCAGTTGCCTGATTATGAGAAAGGAGGAGATCGGTTTGTGACATTCAGGCTGAGAAGATGAAGGATGCAGAGAGTCAGGATCCTTGGGTGGATGCATTTGACATTAGAGGCTGGATGTAGGCAAGTATGCGCTTGCTGGTACCACCACATCTTCACCGCACCCCTGCCCTGGATTCAGTAATAATAATTAATACCCTGCCCATCTAGCTAGGCTGCCCCATTAGTAACACATCCTCTAAACCTAGGTGGAAACTCAAGGCAGGAGATAAAAAGGGAGAAGACAGTGGACAATGAAGTCTAACAAAGGGTCATCTGGGATCTGGTCAATTATTGCTGTTGACTTACCTTTAGATATATAAATTACAGATTTTTAGTATTTTATTTCAAGTCCACCTTTCTTCCAAGGTGGCAAGTGCTACCTTGGTAAACACAGTTCTCTTTCCCCATTTCATCCCCGTGAGAATCCAGAGAGTTCAGTATTACGGGCATAGCAATCCAAGCCTCCTTGAAGTTCTGGGGAAGGGCTGAGCTGGATCCGGAAACAGCCCCACTGCCATCACATGACAGAATTGAGCCTGACTGCTGTGCTAGCTCCAGGCTGACACAGCAAGTTGCCCCCTTCTTTCCCCCACCAGCTTGAGGGGGACAGGCACTGGTTGTGGTTTGGATTGCACTCTAATTAATTTAAAATAGCTAGCCTTTCCACACTAGTTTACAGGAGAATGATGTAAAAATATAGACAACGATAAAAAATATGTTTATACTACAATTAAAATATACATATTGAAGTAGTTAGTGCCACAACTGGGGGCTGCTGGGTTGTTGTTGATTCATTGCAGGGCCTTCTCAGTGGCAGCTCCCCACCTGTGAAATGCCCTCCCTCATTATTGACTTTTAGGAGGAATTTGAAAAGATTCCTCTTTATTGAGCTGATGGATGGCTGAAAGATACTGTTCCTGGAAATCCTGAAATCGTTAGCTGAGATCAGGCTATTGCTTTTAAACTATTTTTAAAATGCTTATAAACTAGAACGTTTTTGACTTTTTAAAATTAATTTTCATGACAGTGTTTTTATGATACTATTGCTGCACTGGGCTTCTTTTCATGTAAGGGCAGGACCACTGGAGAGTTACAGTGCCACATGTGGCTGTAGAGACCGATAAGGGAGAGACATGTTTTACTGCAGATGGGGCAGATGAAAGCATCTGGCTTTGCCAGGGCACCATGGTGTTTCTTCTCTCTGCATTCCTCCCAGTGGTACATAAACAAAAAACAAACCAAATGCAACACATCAGTCTCAAGAGCTAGTAAATATAAACAACAAGAGCATCCTTATGCTATCTAAGATGAAAAACTTTCAAATAAAACAGTTTTACCTTGGGACCAACGTTAGTAAAAAAAGAGAGGTGTCAAGCAAATATTTCTTCCTCAGCCTGGGCATGCCCATGAGAAGGTCTTGTCTACGCTTCAAAGTTGGGGCTCTCAGATAGGACCATGGGTGATAATCTTAGTAAATGGGCAGATTTGAAACAAAGAAAAAACACTGTGTATCTTATTTCTCTTCTAACAACCTAGACCAGCCATACAACATTTTTAAAATGGTAAAAATTGTGTCTATGCTAAATGTGTGTTTCTTCACTGGTACACTATTACAAGTGTGTGTGTACGTCTACCAGCCTTGACAACCAACTGAATAAATTATTGTCAATGTGTTTAGTTTTGCACCTCATTGTCAGTGATACCCAGTGCATGGCACATTCAAGGTGTGATATTCTACAAAAACCGGGTATGTCTCCCACGCTATTGAAACTTAGATGGTAAGCCTCTCGGGGCAGACCATTTTTTGTGTTTATTTACTTGTTTATCACTGCCCATGAAACATCCCATTTAGCAATTAAAAATAGGTATAATAACAAATTTGTTTTTACTACAATCTACTTTGCAGAGGGGTCATATGCACTGGTAGTGCTATGTTAATATTGAAAATAAAGATGTTACAAACATGGGCTTCCTTGGGTAGCATATAAAGAACTAAAGTACATAGTGGCTGTGATTCTGATCAATGAGGTTTTGGGGCCTTTTTGTTGTTGAAATCCTTTCTCCTGTATTAGTGTTTCCCAGATGCCAGTGACGGAGGGGAAGAGTGTCCAGCAAACAGTTGAAATTTTAACAAGAAAGCTTGAGCTACTTGGAGCAGAGAAACAGGGGACCTTTTGTGTAGACTGTGAAACATACCACACTGCACCCTCCACAATGGGCAATCAAGGTAAGTGTTTAATTTCCTACAATTTATACCTCATAATAACTACAGCAGGTCAAACCGCCACTGTTCATTCTCTTCTTTATTTACCAAAAAGTATTTGAGCCCTTAACATGAGTGTACCCATTTTAGTGTTTATGCAAGCAGCAACAACCCACCCTCAAGAATCTTCCTATTCGTGCCCCCCCCCCCCCGGATGGAAAAGCTTAATTAATTCTCCTCTCACAAACCATGTTGCTGGTACAGTGGCCTTAACTGCATTTTCCTAAATAAATACATAAATCTAACACATTCAGAGGCTCGCCAACAGTTCTGGACTGCACTGCAGGGGTGTCATACATTACTCTCCCCTCCACCCCACCCACCCACCACCCCGCAAAAAGAAAAAAAGTACGGCAGCACTGGAGTACTTTGCAGGGCTGTAACTCGTGCTTTCTCAAACACAGTATCTAGCCCCTGTAACATCGATGTACTAATGATTGATTTTATTTGTATTTGTATTAGCAGGGTATTTAAATATATATATATACACATACTCAGAAAAATATCAGTTTTGGCATTAAACTGAACCTGAGTCAGAAAGAACATGAAGTCCTGTCTTTGCTGCTAACTTTTGGAACCATCAGTTCTCTACTAAGGAATATGAGACATCACTTCCATATGAACCACTCTCTTCTCCATTGTAGGAATTTAGAGAGAAAAATTTAAAGTGGCCAAGGAAGTCTCTGGACAAGGAAGGAAGGACTTCCTGGGTAATTTTGAAATCGTTTGGGGGTCTTCTCTTCAAGTTGTATGAATCTAAATTTCTCTCTAGCACTCGGCGATCACAGTGGGTTCATATCTCACAAAGCAATGGTTTTGAATGGCACCTGTACATTTTGCTTCATAATCTTTGTTCTAAAAGGGATTGAGACTTACTTTAAAAATCTAAAATCTCAGAGTATACCCACCCTCCACTGGCTTTGGGCTGGTATAGATGTACCACTTTGCGCACACATACCCTTTTCAGCATCCTTGCTTGTTCCATTGACTGCAGCGGAAACAAAGTTCAGTGGACCTTTGTATCATTAGTCAGGATCCAACCCACTAGCATCAAGCACTTTTAGCATCATCAGATAAACCCTGCAAGTAAGTCTTTGAAAGAAACTTTTACACAAAAACTTGTTGACAAATGAACATTTCAACAATGTGTCTTCCAAATGACATTTGATTGATTCAAGGTTCCATTCATCTAAGCAAAACATATTTTACAAGCTATGTGATGCTTGTTAGACCTGAATTAAATTCATCTGGAAGATAATTAGCAGAGCTGAGGTTTTACAGAGCCAGATTTCCTGAAGGAACTTGGAAACGTTCAGTGTATTCCTCATCACCGTGGAATATGGCTCAGGGAGTTTGCCGTTCTGGATTGCCAGCAAATGTTCTTTGCCACTTTTCTCATAAGTTAATTATTTTCCCTCTAGATGTCAGCAGTGTGCTTGGGCACCCATCCTTTTGCCTCAGGTTCATAAACATGGCTGGATCTATGATTGCTAGCATGGAGATACATATATTTCTGCAGTTCCTCACTAGGGCTTGAATCAATGCCCTACTCCTGGCTTTCACTAAGCACATTAAAACTGTGGAGGAAAAACAGCAAAACACCACCAGAGCATATCTGGGAGTAAGCCCTATTAAACCCAGTGACAGTGAGCATCTGAATTAAAAATAGATTGGATTAGGCTGCCTGTATTACTACTAGTTTAATCTGGAGAGAAACCCTGCAGTGATTTTTTAAAGAGGTATTTCTAAAGCCTCATTTAGATTAGTTATAAAGATGCATCTTATTTGGAATCCTAAAACAGTTGCAGCACAGGGGACAGTTACATCAGTTGCTAACACATCATTGTACTTGTCGTTAAAAAAACAACCCCAGACCAACTTATATTACAGACATTAAAATCAGGTATAAAAACAGAAGTCTAAAATCACATCCATTCCAAACATATATAAAAGACAGGTCTAATACAACCCACGGGACGCGGGTGACGCTGTGGGTAAAAGCCTCAGCGCCTAGGGCTTGCCGATCGAAAGGTCGGCGGTTCGAATCCCCGCGGCGGGGTGCACTCCCGCTGCTCGGTCCCAGCACCTGCCAACCTAGCAGTTCGAAAGCACCCCCGGGTGCAAGTAGATAAATAGGGACCGCTTACTGGCGGGAAGGTAAATGGCGTTTCCGTGTGCTGCGCTGGCTTGCCAGATGCAGCTTTGTCACGCTGGCCACGTGACCCGGAAGTGTCTGCGGACAGCGCTGGCCCCCGGCCTCTTGAGTGAGATGGGCGCACAACCCCAGAGTCTGTCAAGACTGGCCCGTACGGGCAGGGGTACCTTTACCTTTACCTTAATACAACCCACACCACTCAAAACTGGAAAGAAATAGGCCACAAATATACCCCAAATCCTGCAAATTGTGGACCAAAAGCATCGTTTTTGCTTGGTACAATTCCCACTGGTACAGTAGGACCAACGTTTGCTATTACCAAATTGATCCATTGATCAGATCAGCTTAATCCCTTCATTTTAAGGGGGATTGGCAAACTTTCTCTGGAGCGTAACAGAGATGCAGATCTTAGTGCTAATGTCTACTTGGGCATGGCTACAATGCAGGGCTGGCTAGCCTGTGGGCTGGATCCAGCCTAGCAAGCCGCAGGAAGTGGCTTCCCAGCCCCTACAACTTGGTCTTTGTCTCCCGATCTCAGCGCTGAGTTGGGGAGACAAAACATTCTATGTGCTCCTTAGAGATGACGTTGAGGGCAGCATTTCCCCCACCCCTCCCACTCCAGTGGTAGGGGAAGGATTGGAAGCACTGTACGTATTTTGTTCCTTACTGAAGTACCTCTGAGTTCTAAAGGCAGCATTTTCCCCTGCTGTCCCCGACCTACCAGAGGTGGACATGGAAGAGTGGGCTCTCCTGGTGCAGGACTTATTCCTGTCCTCTAGCCCTAGGGCTGCCATACGTCCGGATCTTCCCTGGGCTTGTCCCAAAAAAGTTCAACAACTTTTGGGGTGTCCTGGTTTTTACTTTTTGAAATGTGGCAACTCTCTCCTGTCCCCAACCCTCTGGAGCTGACTTTGAAGGTGCATGAGGAGCCAGAGATCATGGAGGAGGAGACCAGAGAGGGAGAGGAAGCTCTATTGCGTGTGCAGAAGTCCATTGTGCCAATAGAGCTGCAACACTGGATACAATCCCATGTCTTGTATTCATTGTGCTCTGTATAGTACTGTGCCACAATAGATTAATTAGGCTTCTGAAGATTTTTGCAATGACAGCTGTAGTTCAAATTATAGTCGAACCCCTTTTCTCTCCATCTTGCCAAAGAATGTTGTTGAGTGTACTTTTGTAAGGAGGTTAAGCGGATGTGTATCTGAAGTATATACTCTAGAAAGAACAAATCCTCATTTATCTCAAGATCGTGGTTCTTTAAGTAAAATAACATTGATTGTGTTTTGCTAGCCTGGAAAAGCCATTCAGCGACCCGCGCGACGTAGAGATTCTGTAACAGCCCCAGTGGTTGTCAAGCAGCAAAGAGACAAAGGAAAATGTAACAGATGTTTCATTTTAAAGCATCTTAAGAGGGAAGGAATAACAACCTTGAAGTGAAAGTAATGCTGCTCTTGTTTCAGGGCAGGCTGCCAAGCTGATGTATGTGATGCACAATTCCGAATATCCCCTCAGCTGCTTCGCTCTCTTTGAAAATGGTCCTTGCCTCATAGCGGATGCCAACTTTGACGTGCTTATGGTGAAGCTGAAAGGCTTCTTTCAGAATGCCAAAGGGAACAAGATAGAGAGCCGGGGAACCCGGTACCAATACTGCGATTTCTTGGTGAAGATTGGCACTGTTACCATGGGGCCCAGCGCCCGTGGTATATCTGTGGAGGTAAGGATGCTCCTCAGACAGGGGGGAAGTCAGCATATGAAGTAATATACCGTATTTTTCGCTCTATAGGACACACTTTTCCCCCTCCAAAAATGAAGGGCTCTCCAGGCTTCAGGAAGCTATCCGCAAGCCTTGGGAGCTCGACGGCAGTGCCCGCTGGGCTCCCAAGGCTTGCGGATAGCAGCCTCCAAACCTGACCTGGTTTGGAGGCTGGCGGTGGGGAAAGCAGCACTTCTCCCCACCGCCAGCCCCACAAGCTCGGGGGACAGCAGGGAGGCGGAGTGCCGCCTTCCCACTGTTCCCCGACCTGGTTTGGAGGCTGGCGGTGGGGAGAAGCGCTGCTTTCCTCACCGCCAGCCCCACAAGCTGGGGGGACAGTGGGAAGGCGGCGCTCCTCCTCTGCTTTTCCCCGACCTGGTCTTTGGGGCTGGCAGTGGGGGAAAGCAGCACTCCCCCTCCCCGCCAGCCCCAAAGAGCAGGTCGAAAGGAACCCAAAGCCTCCAGAGCCCAGCGGGAACTCCCGCTGGGCTCCGAAGGCTTTGGGTGAACGCACCTTGAACGCACAGAACGCACCTTGGTTTAGAGGATCCGGTGCATCCTATGGTCCGGTGCGTCCAATAGAGTGAAAAATACGGTATTACACGGCTCCAGCTCAGTACAGGTATAGCTAACAGTTTACTGAATCAGGAAACCTATCTAATAAGTATCTAGGAGGTGAGACGGTCTTTGTGGGCCTTTGGTGGTGTGGACTGCATGCTAACTGGGGCTCTTGGGAGCTAGAGTCAAACAACATCTGGAGTGCCACAGGTTCCCCAGGCCTTCCATAGGACATAGCAGTACCTGGCTTCTCCCCTCAGAGCATGCAGCTGGGTGTGCACACAGGCAGGGCACCAGGGTGGCCCAGGGTTCATGATACCTACACAGACCCTTCCCATATCCCTGTCCAGACCCCCACCCCACCCCACTTTGGTTAAGTGGTTGTATCTCAAAAAGGGAATTGCTATGTTGTACTCATTTTTTTCTCCACACGTGCTGAGAAGCCTGTCTTTCCCTTCATGATCTTTTATCTCTATGCAAAGCCGTGACTATTTCAACCTGAGGGTCCACAAGTTGGTTGATTTGCTTGGCACACAGGCTTTAAAAGAAGTGATCCCGTTACAGTGAACTTACTAAGCACCATTTGTAGCACATTAGCTGTGTAACTGTTCTCCATAGAGTGCTTTGTAGGCTTTGTATAACATGAGCTTTTTAGGGGGCGAATATATGCCTAGTTCATGAAAAATGAATGGATGGATGGATGGATGGATGGGCAATTCTTAGCGGAGCAGATTCAGACAGCTGACAGCTCAAGGTCACTGAGCTGTTTCAGTTGAGGGAAAGCCTGGTGTCAGTGGGGTGACATCCTTGGGCAGTTGTCAGTGCCCGAGCAGAGTCCACTGCTGCTTTTCCTCAAGACGTTTTAAAAAGCTAATGCATACCAGTGCTATCTTGGAGTTTATGGCAGTGCCCCAGAAGTTGAGTGGTCTTGGAGCAGTGTAATGGGTGTGTGTGTGTGTGTGTGTGTGTGTTGGTGGCTGTTTTTACACTGCTAGATTCAGACTTTGCCATTTCTATCTCTGATGCCATTAGGGGCTATCACTGGGGCAAATGGAGCAAGGTGCCATCAATATGCTGGTGACGCTCAGCTCTCGTTGTCCATAGCATTAAAAGCAAGAGGCAGTGAAGATCCTGGGCCAGTGTCTGGATGCAATGGTGGGCTGAATGAGAGGGCATAAGATGAGCCTGAATCCTGGCAAGAAAGAGGCTCTGTGGGCGAGTGGTTTTTGTGTCTGAGAAGCTGGTCCATTGCCTACTACAGATGGGGTTCGCGCTCCCTCTGAAGGAAAAAAGCAATCCTGCACTGGGTCATCTTGGTAACTTCAAGGCTGCCCTACTTGAATATACTCTACATGGAGTTTCCCTTGTGCTTGGTCCAGAAACTGCCATTAACGCTACAACAGAATTGTTGACAGGAGAGTCTCTTGGCATATTACACCTGTGCTCAAAGTGTAATCCATTTGTTAGAATGGAGGTTGTGTTACTAATTGAACTTTGGCTCGGCAATCCAGACAGTTAGGTCTTTTAATTTCAACAATTTTTTAAAAATATTTTCAAAGACCTAATGTTTACAGATGAAACCTTTTCCTGTGAACAGGATGTGCTGTCTTTGGTTCTGAACTAATCAAAATGCATTTGAGAGGGTGTGATTCACAAATTAAATTTGAGTTGTTTATGCCGATATATGGGCATGGTTTTGATTTTTAAACAAGGCTAGTCCAATGCCTATGGAGAACTGAATGGGTAGTGGTTAGCAAGCTCTGAACATAGACCTACATACGCAAACCTACACAAAGCTTTTATTTTGGATTTGTAGCGTTAAACCTTTGTTGTGCAATGAATGCCAATTAAAACAAATGACAAGGTGGCCTTGATGATCTCAGCCAAAGGCATGATCCAGTGATCAGAACCAAAGGCATATGCTGGAAAAGCTGAGACTTTCATTTTGCTACCTAGTACTTATTTGCTGTGTCACTTTGTCAATTACCTAGGCATTGTAGCTATACTGTATAAATATTACTTCCACCTCTGGGTTCAGTAATTGTCTCTAATCAGCTGAGAGCTGTGTCTCCATCTGCTGAGGATGAACAGTAAAATCCTAGAGGGAGGTAACTTGACTGGCAATTCCTCCGCTTTGAAACCGTTTCTCCCCACCCCCGAGAGGTTTGCCAAAGCCTGGTTTTGATCAGAATCCAGAATTAATCCAACATTTGTGACATGAGCAAACATTTTGTGACTTTGGCTAACTTTAGTCTTACGCTTATTTATAATAAAAAAATTGCTATGAGTCAGAAAGAAGGGGGTTGCTTTATAATATTCACACTTCCAGTATTCTGGACTCCACCCCAAAAACGCACTGAATTTGCCCTTGCTTTTGGCATTTATTCTAATCTTGCAGTGATAAGCCTATGCAAGCTTAAGGGTTGTAACCAGTGCTGCATGACCAGAGTTCTGTTTGCACAGTGGGAGTTCCCTTTCCTCACACTATGCGATTCCAAAATCTATTCTGGAGGGCCCCACAACTATATGGAGCAGATTTTGAGGGTACGTGGGGGTGAGGGCTGCAACGGAGAGGAAATTTCCATAGTACAAATGAAAATCTGCTGCTTGAACGAAACAGCAATGTTTGATACAACCCTAAATAGAGCTAGAACTCGAGAGTGTCTGCTTGAAAGTTCTCAAGTGCCTCAGGATTTTCACGATCTCCTTTAACCCCCAGCAATCTTTCTTGCAAAGAACGGGTGAGCCTCTCCACTGCTACTAAACATTATGCTTTTTGAGAGGTTGGGATGGAATCGTAACTGCCCGCTGGAGAGTTCTTGCTGGCTGCTGGCTGCTTCAGAGCTTTTGTTTCTGTTGCCAGGTGGAATACTGTCCGTGTGTGGTGGCCAACGACTGCTGGAACCTGTTAATGGAGTTCATGCAAAGCTTCATGGGAAGTCACGCTCCCGGAATCCCTTCTGTGTTTAGCAATAAGCACGACAGCATCTACAGCTCGGCTGACACAATGGTCCAGTACATGGAACTCTTCAACAAGATTCGCAAGCAGCAGCAGGTGCCTGTCACAGGAATCAGATGAGGAAAGCTTCGTAAGGCCTTCTTTCACGGGAGCAATCAGTTTGCTGAATAGTCGGTTGAAATTGCAGTTCCATCCCAGTAGTCCAGATCACAATTTTTTCCCATTAAATCAATGCAGTCTGTCTCCCTAAGAGAGGTAGAATTAATTCTGTCTCATCTCAAACCTCCAGGGGTATGCCTCTCTTATAATAATGGCATACTTTGCCTTAGACTGCTATCTCAGAGATCTGCCTCCCGCTCTTGAAGCAAGATTCCTGCCCCTGAGTGGAAACTGGAGGAAAACAATCATCTTGAAGGAGCACAGGTTGAAATTGCATATAAATAGGAGAATGGGCTTTGGGGGTCCTTAATTTCCTTGACTGACTACGAGTGAACATGAAATTTCTATGAGAGTGAAAATATGTTAATATGGCTTTTATTAAAAGAACTTTAATTTTGCATATTAATGTTGTAGATGTTATCTGTTTTATAGATTTTATCCTATAATTTGTGGGAGATTTATATTTTGGGTTGAAATGTAATATCTCGTTGAAGCAAGCAAGATAAATTATCTGTTGGCCTATCTGTGTTTAAGTTATTGACATCTCACTATCTTCAAAAAGCATTTGAGAGGAATAAAATGTTTGGGCTTTAGGTTCATTTCACTGAAGTCTTAGGGCTTAATTCCTCTGCCTTCTTGACTAATGTTTTCTACTGGAACAGATAAAAGCCCTGACAGTGCAAAACTTGTACAGAGCAAGATTTCAGTCAAAATCACTAAGGCATCATTATCTTTTGAAGACGATATCAAAAAAATGCACAACATTTTCACCTTATTGTATTTGTTTGTGCTTTGAAACTTGTTATGTTTTGTTACTTCTACAGTTTTTTGTGTTTACTGCATTTAAAGCTTCCCAAATTAAAAAAACAAACAAACACAAAACTAATCTAGGACCCTCTCTTCTTTATTAACGGAGTCCAAATCTTGATAAAGAATTTGGATTGGCTGTGTAAACCTCCTCCCCCCCCCCAGCCTTACAATTGCTTCCCCCTTTACCCTGACCTATTTGTGTATGAGCCTGGTATTGTGCTATTCTGTGTAGTAGCAACAGGCTGTAGGCTTCAGCCCCAGGATCCTTGTAATAGTGTGCAGGTAAGGAAACTCTGTACCTGTGCTCCAGTAATGGAAATTTGTGCCACCTTTGTGCTGAGATAGCAATGCATTTGGTACTGTTGGGCTGGTGCTGTTGAAACCACTACACAGCGTATGACGATTGTGAATGGCAGTTGAGGGGGGAGCAGAAGGCAGAGGTAGGAGTTATTTGTGGCAAATAAGTGGTTATCATAAGGACTATGGGAGCATTTCTGCCCATTAACATTGACATGCTTGCCCTGAAATGTGTTGAAAGGGAAGTGGAGTATTTTTTTGGGGGGTGGATATTTTGCTTTAATTTTTGTAGGGTGCATAGAGCCAGTCAGAGTACCAACCACTCTTGGTGATCCAAAACACATTTTGATGAAAAAGGGATGTGCCTTGTGTGAGTGCAGGCAGTTTTGGTTCACAGATCACACTAAGCCCAAACATGGCTTAGTGCAAATATGTAGGCTCCCAGAGAGGAGGCAACAGCCACTTTGCCTTAGTTTAGTGTGGCATGGAAGTAAAAAATACTTGAGGAGAAGCAAAGTCTGGCTTAGTGTGTTTTCCGTACCTGGGGCCATGGTTTAGCTCTCTGATCAACTAGCTACAATCTGTAAACCTAGAACAAACCTTGGATAGAGCTCTTGATTAGTGAGGAGAATGCTTTACTACAAGCTTGAGTTCAGATGATGCAGTAAGTCAAACCTTGGTCTAACTCGGTGCAGCTTGAGAGTAAAAGAGACTGGGGAGGAGAAAAGCAGCTATGAGGTCCTAATAATAATAATAATAATAATAATAATAATAATAATAATAAATAATTTATTATTTATACCCCTCCCATCTGGCTGGGTTTCCCCAGCCACTCTGGGAGGCTCCCAACAGAATATTAAAAACACGATAAAGCATCAAACATTAAAAACTTCCCTAAATAAGCCATACATTTCCTGATAAGCCATATTTTGGCTTACTATGACATGCAAATCAGGCTGCTGTGTGCATAATGTGGCATATGGCACAGCGGGGGGCGGGGGGAGAGAGAGTGAGAGAGAGAGAGAGAAGTCCAGAATGTGGTTTGCCATAGTGATTCCTTGTTTTTCAATACAGCACTGGAAAAATCAAACACTTCTCTTTCCTTCGCCCCAACTTAACTGAGTGAAGAGTGCATGGTAGCAACTGCTTTTCATTTCTGCCCATATATGGATTCTGCTGCAAGTTCAAAATGTAAACTCTGAAAATGTAGTGCCTTTACTGCATGTGAGGCAGAATGTTTAATTTACAGGATTGGAAGGGGACTTTCTTGGAGAGTCAGAGGGGGAAATTCTGTATTCCTTCTCTGAACAAAATGCAAATAGTCCTTTTTGGATCCAGGTGCATTGAATTGCATGTTAAACTTTCTCCCAACTTACGTGCAGATTGATCATTTAAAAGAAAGCTATTGGTAATCAGAATTTGCATTTGGGCAAAGTTGTAAAAACTATATAACACATCTACTGCATTCTGCAAAAAGCAAGTTATAAGTTTGACTGGAGAATATTTACTTTGACTTGCAGCACTAATTATATTTGATCCATTGACCTGCAGCTGCTAGGAAACATTAGAACTATACAAATAATAAGGAAATACAATGATCACGGTTATTCACTGCCTACATAGAAATTCTGCCAAAGCTATTAATTACATATGATTTTTATTGGTAGGCAATCATTTCTTAAGCCTGCATATCTAAACATTAAGGCACTTAGAAAAGCTTCTTGGTATTTTCAATCCAATCCGTTGGCTATGAGCCCAGAAAGATCTGACAAGTTGATTCATAACATGTGCGGAAAATGGTTTGTACTGCAAGTAAATTTAACATATTAATAACCAAATTGAACCTGATCTATGAACTATACTTCATTTGACTTTAATAAGTTTTGATTCCCGTGCTTACTGATTAACTGCAGTGGGTAAGTGTTCAAGGCTCAGACCTTTGGCTTGTTGATGTTGTGCCTTTTAAAGGAGTTAACATAAGCCTCTGTTCTAAAATGTGTTTGCGTGGGGAGGGGGGGAGGAGAAACATTAGCTTCTGTGAGATGGGCCTGGGCGATGTATCGATATATCGCCCAGGACCAGTATGAGGAGCAGATGTTGGTTTCACTCAGTGGTATATCACCGCTTCTGAGTTTCTCTGCTAGCAGTGCAACTTCATCCAGGGGGTGCTGCTAGCAGAGAGACTCAGAAGAGCGGTGGTTTCACCAGCAATATACCGCTGAGTGAAAAAGACATCGCAGTCTGCCCTCATACGGGGCAGAGGGAGAGACAAGCTGCATTTAACGGAGCCCCCAGTCCGGCGCTGGCTTGCCAAAGCCAGCAGTGGGGTGGGGGCTCTGTGAAACTGTCCCCCCATCAGAGCAACCACGACGCCTCAACAGCATCGTATTGCTCAGTTGGGGGGGGCGCTTTTTCTACACAACAGCTGTGCGAAGCCCGATGCTGCTGTGGCGTTGCATCGCTCAGATGAGGGGTGGAAGAAGCCTCCCCCCCACCCCATCTGAGCAATCTGATGCTGTTGAGGCATCAGGGCTTGCTCAGTTGGGGGGAGGGAGAGCCCTGCCCCAGCCGAGTAGCGGCCTGGGCCAGCTGCATTGGCCCTAGCCTGCAAGCCACGGGTGAAAGGGCCCCAGCTCCGGTGGCGAAAGCTGCGGCACTTTCACCCTGCGTCTAGCTGGCTGGGGCCAACGCAGCTTGTTTCAACATTGCAGTTCATCGCCAAACCCCAATGTCTGGCTGGTGATACATCGCGATGTTCAACATCTAACATCGCCCAGCAGTACTGTAAGAGTCATGAATAAGCCGGAATGTGCAGGATTGGGACCTTACTTGGCAAAAATCAAGCTTTCTCACCAAGCTGGTTTTTGTAAATAAACACCAAAGTATGCATTCAACTACATCAGAGTTTGGAAGTTTCTGAATAAATAATAATAAATAGTAATTTATTTGTACCCCGCCCTCCCCAGCCGAAGCCAGGCTCAGGGCAGCTAACATGAAACTAAGACAGTATACAAAAAACATAAAAACAGGCAATCAATTAGTTAAAATGCATATTAAAATAGTTCAGAGCAAATTAAAATCTGGACAGATGGCAGTCCACAGGTAAAATTGAGAGTGGTTAATATTCTCCATTGCCAACTGTTACCACTGGTCTTATAAAGGACCTGTGAGCAGGCCAGGAGGCCTCTTTAATGCTTGTTAATATACCCACATATATTTATTTAAAAGCATTTCTAAATCACTTCATGTTTTTAAAATCTCGTTAAGTATACACTGTGAGGGGACATGATAGCAAATCTTCAAAGACCTGAAGGGCTGTCACATAGGAAAGGGTCAAGGTGTGGTCTCTGCTATGCTAGAACACAGCGCAATATCTAATGGGGCTTCAGCTAGAAGAGGATGGCTTACCCAAGTGCTTTTCTACTCTTAAGATTCTGCTTGTACCCAGACTTCCACCCATATTTAAATGAATACTTAAATAAATAAATAAATAAGCAGGCAGGCAAGCTTTTTGTAAGAAATATAACAAAGTTGCAGACCATCCAGGTGTCCCTATCATCCAGGGACAGTCCTGGATTTGATCCCGGAATGTCCTGCTTTTCCTTAGGACGTCTCTATTCTGAGAAATGTTGGAAGGTATGGTAGGAGGTCCCTATTTTCACTGGAGAAACGTTGGAGGATATGGAGTTATCTGACACCTGAGCCATCTGAAGGCAGTCCTGCATAGAGGGTTTTATTATGTTTTATGTTTTATTATGTTTTTATATATATTGGAAGCCACCCAGAGTGGCAGGGTATAAATAAAATGATGGTGATGATGGAATGGGCTGTTGCTATTTTCATTGGAGAAACATTGGAGGGTATGAAATTGCCAGATGATCTTTGTGAGGCTATATAATCAACACAGGAAAAGAGAAACTGTATTTTATTCAAGGCCTTGACCCGAGTTGGTAACCAAGTTTACAGCTAGCATTATTTTGATAGATTTCAGGCAAGGGTTACTAATTAATGTTCATATCCAAGCAACTAATGTCCCAATACTTTCCCCTTGAGAAGTATAATGAGATGTGTGGAACTGGCCTCCATTTTTCAGATATAGCACCGACTATCCTTGCTCAGTTGAAAAATCTGTTACTGTCAGGTACACTGAAGGAAGCCCTCAGTGTAGAGATATTCTGGTAAAACTTCTCACGTACTTCAAGACCCTAGGAAAAGCCATTTAACTGCCACTAAAACTGTCACAACTCATAAATTACACCCTCTCAGCCCTTCCCCTTGGATAAAACATTATGCAAATAAGTCTGCGGGTTTCTTAAGTTTGTTTGTTTTGCCTGTGACCACATACAGTAGTAAAATTTGCTTTATTTAAATTATTGATAACATTCTCCCAAATGGTATAAATGCAAAATTATGTCACTGAATTGTATTTTAAAAATACAAAAGTAAGCAGCATTACTTTAAAATCAGCCGTTACAGTTTTTCAGCAGCATGTCTAATGAAAACACGCAAATAAAAAGACACTTGAGAGGTTTCTTAAAGCCTTTTTGAATGTTCTGCATATAACTGGATTTTCTTGCCTTCATCCTTTGATGGCACTGCATCAAACTAAGCGCTGGTGGGTTCTGCAAGCATTCCTTTACCATAAGGGAAGATGCTACTATTGAATAAGTCTGAGGGGGATATTTGAAAGCAATTGGCACATAGAGCATTCTAGAATTGGAAGAAAACATGGGACAGCTACTCTCAACTGTTCACTGCAAAAACAGGCTGCAGGTCTCC